GTCAAGAGATCGAAACCATCCTGGCCAACATGTTGAAATCCCATCTCTACTAAAAATATAAAAATTAGCTGGGTGTGGTGGTGTGTGCCTGTAGTCTCAGCTACTTGGGAGGTTGAGGCAGGAGAATTGCTTGAACCTGGGAGGTGGAGGTTGCACTCTGGCCTGGTAACAAAGTGAGACTCTGTCTCAAAAACAAAACAAAACCAAACAAAACAAAAATCCAGCTTTTGAGGAGCTTGTAACTCTCTCCACCTGTGATTCCCTTTGTTCCATCCATCCAAATCCTACTCACCCATGAAGGCCTTGGTCAAATCACACAACCCCCATGAAGCCTTCCTTAACCATTCTGGACCAGCTCCCCAACCCCCATCTATGTTTCTCAAAAATTCACACTGATTTTACCACTGACCTCATATTTGCATGGCCTGTGCTGTCAAATACAGTCATCTCTACTTGCATAACTCTCATTTCACTCTTTTTCCCAGCCTATACATCTTTCCATCTATTTATAAGCTCTGGTGGGCCAAAGGCCCTTAAATCTTCTGCCACAGGTTTAAAACAAATGCATTTTTATTTGAATTAAAGTAGGTCTTCCTAAGAAGCGGTGCAAAGCAGAAAGAGGGGGTAAGGATGGAAAGTACCCTTTATGGAACACATGCTATGTGCTGGGTCCTTCCCTCAGGCCTATTTAAATCTTTATAATCCTAGAAGAAGGTACTGAGTCTTCTTGGAATCCTTCCTCTCCTCCCACACGCATCTTCCTGAACATGGTCACTGAGCAGCCAGCATCTGCCCACCTTGGCCCTGGCTACATTCATTGCTTGAGTGGGAGTATATTTAACTGTTTCCAAAAACAGGGAGGTAATTACTTGCTGTATCCAATGAGCTGGAATCACCCGTGCTCTGCTTGTTTCTAATACGCCCATCGGCCAAAGCTAAACACACAGGAGACCACCATTAGAAAACGCAGGCTCTTTTTGCATGACTGCCTAGTTGAACAAATTCACAAAGGTAATCCAGGTAAGACCATCTAAGAATACAAAAGTTTAAAAATGATAGGTGGCAGTTTTGCTAGGATGTACAAAACTGCAGTACTTTTTTTTTTTTTTTATTTTTAAAGGAAGTGCACTATTCTCCATTTCCCGAAAAGTTCTTTGTTCTTTTGCTCTAACAAAGTAAATTATTCCTCACCTTGGGCAAGTTGGTAGGAACGTGAGAAAATTACATTAAATCAGACATCCTTGAGATCAAAATAGATTGGAACGGGGGTTCTCTTTGTTTAAAATAGTTCTTCAAAGAGAAAGCAAAAGAGCTTAAGGGAAGAAAAAGTTGTCAAACACCCTCAAGCACTTTGGAAGCACCTAAGATCTACAAACTATTGATATGTTAATTAAAATTTACTTTTATCTAGTATAGGTGCTGCTGGTCATGGTCCCATTACCCTGTGGCACTTTCGGCCTCTTGAATAAAATTTCATTTCTTGAAAGACATTAGAAAATGCTTCCTTTTCTCTATTTCAGATGGTTTCCTCTCGCTTATTGCAATTTAACAAAACTTCACTCAGCTTAAAGCTGGACACCAAATTCCAGAGAGAATATACTATCCATTCACTCCAGTCACCAGCAGCTTTCTGACCAGATCAAAAACAAACCACACTGGATAGGGAACAGAAAAAGTAGAAAATTTTCATCAGTCAGTAATTAATAACTCTGTATTTACCAGTTACCAGAGTAGGACTTCTCTGGAATTTAAAATGTCTACAGAAAGAAAATCCTTTTCAGCAATAACCCTTCTCAATAATCTGCTTCAATTCTGCGAAGCCCTCTCTGCTGAAAATTCTTTTGGGACCCAATATAAATGTCCATGGGGCAGTTTATCTATCTCCTCTGGTTCTACTACAGAGAAGATACCCTTTCCAGGTTCTCGAAATTTCTTCCTTAAGTGATCCCCAGTACCGTACTTGATCTTGAACAAATCAGAAAATAATGTCATGCAAAAGAGTAAACTCAAACCATCAGGAGGCAAATTCAGACTTTTAAGTGTCTAAGGAGTGTTGTGACTTTGCAGGGAGTCAGTAACTTTTTTTATATTAGTCCGTGTTTTGTTTTAAAAAGTTGATCCCATGCACTATGTTATTGCTAACAGAATTTTTACTTTCTTCTGGAATAGAGGTTGGCAAACTATGACCTGTGGGCGGAATGCCTGTTTATATAAATAAAACTTCATCGGAATCACAGCTATCCCTATTTGTTGACATATTACCTATGGCTCCTTTATTCTTACAGCAGCAGGCAGAGTTGGGTCGTTGTAAAAAAGACATTGCCTGCAAGTACTAAAACATATACTACATGACCGTTTACAGAAAAGTTTGTAGACCTTTGTTACTACTAAAACACTACCACTAAGATGCACAGTATCAAAACTATTACTCTAAGCCAGAGTAAAACACACTGGCTATCTTAAAACCTAAAGCCAACTTTTATTGTATGATTAATTCAACAGTGGTCATTTTGGAGACCTCCAAACAGCCATAATTGCCTTTTATCATCTAATTTGCCATCACCAACTACAAACTCTGTTTTGGCATGTCAGTTGACACACCCTACCAAAAAATTAGGAAGGCGCCAATACTGTCTGCAGAAAGCACTAACCAGCAGCACCGTATAATAACAACAGGCCAGGTGCACAGTCTCATGCCTGTAATCCTAGCACTTTGGGAGGCTGGGGCAGGCGGATCAGGAGGTCAGGAGGCTGACACCATCCTGGCCAACATGGTGAAACCCCGTCTCTGCTAAAAACACAAAAATTAGCCAGGTGTGGTGGTGCGTAGCTGTAATTCCAACTACTCGGGAGGCTGAGGCATGAGAATTGCTTGATCCCAGGAGGCAGAGGTTGCAGTGAAGTAGATCATGCCATTGCACTCCAGCCTGGTGACGGAGCGAGACTCCGTCTCAAAAAAATTAACCAGTACCATAAGCACCGTTCTAAGCATGTTACGTGTATTGTTATGTAACCAAGATGTAAGATGCACAAGGGTAGGGTTTTGTCTGTTTGGTTCACTACTGAGTCCTTGTAACTTAGAACAATGGGTAGCACACTGTAGCCACCCAACAAAAATTTGGTAAATGAATGAAAGTTAGTTCTCCCATAAACGCCATGGGATTTATCCTGGTATTGGCAAAATGACACCTAGAGATTTGAAACCAGGTGGTTTCAGTCGACACCTCACTGCCTCTGTTATGATGTGGTTCAGCCAGCACACCCTCCTCCAGCCCATCTTGTTTTCAATTAAGTAAAGACCCTTTGGCAATGGAATAGCTAAATCTAACCTGATTAAACAGTAAGCATTTACTGGGAGCTGATTTACTTAGCACTGTATTAGAAACTACAAACCTAAAAAGAAATCTAAGACGCTTTTGCCTGTGGCACATGCAGAATAGTATGCTTGCTAAAAGCATGGACTCTGGAAGACTGCCTAATGCTCCATCCTAACCACGTTATTTCCTTGCTATGTCACCTTGGCAAGTTATTTAGCCTCCCAGTGCCTCAGTTTCCCCATTGGTAAATGGGCATGATTACAGTATCTAGAAGCTTGATCCACAGGAACAATACCTATCACATTGTAACTGCTAGTATGTACCTGTGAGGGATTTATTACAGTCATGTGCCCCGTAAAGACATTTTGGTCCACGATGGAGCAAATAGGACAGTGGTCACACAGGATTATAATGAAACTAAAAAACTCCTACTGCCTAGGGATGTAGCCATCAGAATGTCTCATGGCAATGAGTTAATCACATCTGTGGTGATGCTGGTGTAAATAAACCTATTGCACTGCCAGTTGTATAAAAGTACACGGAGAATTATGTACAATGTCTAATCCATGATAATGATATTAAATGACCATGTTACTGGTTCGTGTATTTACCGTTAGATGCTTTATATTGTTACTTTAGAATGTACTCTTTTTTAATGTTAATGTAAAACAGCCTCAGGCAGGTCCTTCCAGAGGCATTCCAGAAGAAGGCTCGGTTACCACAGCAGAGGACAGCTCCATGCATGTCATTGCCCCTGAAAACCTGCCAGTGTGACAAGATGTGGAGGTGGAAGACAGTGATATTGATGATCCTGGCCCTGCGTAGGCCAAGGCTCACACATGTGTTTGTGTCTTAGTAATTTTTTATTTTTATTTTTTTTTGAAAGGGAGTCTCGCTCTTGTCGCCCAGGCTGGAGTACAGTGACATGATCTCCGTTCACTGCAACTTCTGCCTCCCGGGTTCAAGCAATTCTTCTGCTTCAGCGTCCTAAGTAGCTGGGATTACAGGTGCCAGCCATCACGCCCAGCTAATTTGTGTACTTTTAGTAGAGACAGCATTTCACCATGTTGGCCATGCTGGTCTCCAACACCTAACCTCAGTGATCTGCCCACCTCAGCTTCCCAAAGTGCTGGGATTACAAGCGTAAGCCACTGTGCCTGGCCTGTGTCTCAGTTTTAAACAAAAAAGTTTAAAGGGGAAAAAAAAAAAAAAAAGATTTAATCCAAAAACTTTATATAATAAAGATATAAAGAAAATACTTGCATGCGGCTATATAATGTGTTTTTTAAGTTAAGTGTTATTACAAATGAGTCAAAAAGTTAAAAATAATTTAAAAGTTTACAAGGTAAAAAACGTTGTAATAAGCTAAGTTTATTACTGAAGACAGGGAAAAAAGTGTGTATTTTAGTACAGCCTAAGTGTACAGTTCTTATAGAGTCTACAGAGGTGTACAATGACGTCTGGAATCCTCGCCTTCCATTCACGACTCACTCACTGACTCACTCAGAGCAAATTCCAGTCCTGCAAGTTTCATTCATGATAACTGTCCTATACAGGTGTACCATTTTTTAATCTGTTATATGGCTCCTTCTTACTGTACTTTTTCTATGTTTAGATACACAAATGTTTACCACTGTGTTATAATCACCTGTAGTTTTCAGTACAATGACATGTTGTACAGGTTTGTAGCCTGAGAGCAACAGGCTATTCTGACTACAGCATCTAGGTTTGGTAGTGTAGTAGACTATAGCATCTAGGGTTGTGTAAGTAACTCTATTATGTTACCCCAACAAAGAAACTGCTTAACAATACATCTCTTAGAAAGTATCATTGTTGATAAGCAATGCATGATTATATGACATGTATTTAATTCTGTGACTGGGAAAATAAGAAACTCCCACCTAAGTCAATTTATGAGTCACACTGCATTCTATTTTATAACCCCACGTGCTGGTAGACAAAAGCCACAAGCTGTTGAGTGCTGATGGTTATAGAGTTTTCCACAAGCCCTGGAACTCTCCTCCCCCACTACTTACCCTGGTAAATTTCTACTCATCCTTCACGTCGGACCTTAAATGTCACTTCCCTGTGCTAACCTTCCCTGACCTCCTTGTCCTCCACCTGGATCAGCGTCCACAACGCAATCCCTATACTCCGCATGCACTGTACTTCTTCCCCATGAATGCAGAGCTCCTGGACTTGTGCAGTAACTGTCAGCTACATGTGTCTAGATGTTTGTTTCCTTGTGTTTTGTTTTCTTCTGCATTCCTGCTTCACACACAGGAGACTTCCATAAATGTCTGCAGCCTGAATGACTATGCAGTGTACACCTCCCCCCCAAAAAGGAGAGATTATTGTGAGTCTGAAAGTCTGCAGTAAAGTGAACCAGAGATAGTGACACAATAAAATGAAGAAGGCTGAATGGTTTGCAGGTCTCAATTTTATTTTATTTTCTCTTTTTAAAGTGAAGGAACAACAGCAGTGTGTGATTTCTGGAGAAGAATGTGTATAGCTTATCCACAAATCTCAAAACCTTTGTTAAGTAGTTCTAGAGGTAGGGCTGGGTTTTGTGTTTGGTTGAGACAGACACAGTGATTAAAGGAAGGCATGCTTTCTGGTGCACTGGTTCCTTTGCCGCGAGTCTGAGAATTACCACTGCATTCCTCAAGGAGGAAAAAAACCTTGGTAGGGAGATTTTCTTTTCAAATAATATTGATTTGGTGATTGATGGCAATACTACAAAATAAACGTTTACTTTTTGTAATTCAATATGGTTCTTGAGTGGTAACTGTTCTTGTCAAGTTAATATACATATAAGTATATAATCTCTTTCTTCTGCTCTTTAATTTGCAATTATTCATTTCAGAAATACTGATTCTTCCTAAAGCATAAGGTATGGGTTTTCTTAAGATTCTCACCTATCTTATTTCCTAACATATTTATCAAGTATGCCCTTATTTTTATGAAAGTATAAACCTTATCTCCATTTAGCTAGCAGAGATGGAAAATAAAAAATGTTTTAAAAACTAAGGAAAAAGAATTGGTCTAATATGCAACGCAAATGAGTGAATTTTATAAAAGGCAAAGATAAAAAAAGTTATAATCCCTTTGGCATGCCATTCATTAAGAAAAATTCTTCCTAAGGTCTATGAGTTTTAAATATGCTTAGCAAGTCAATCATTTATTCATTCATTCAATTCAATTAATATTTATTGTGCATTTATTCATTCATTCATTCATTCAATTCAACTAATTTATCACACAACCCTGTATGTATAAAGCCTCCCGCCAGGTGTGGAAGGCTGGGTTCACTGAGTTAGACATGTACCCGAGTAACTGTGCCCGTGAAGACGGGGATAATGTAACTGCACTATTCCCAGTGTGCTCCATGAACTGATGCTGGTCCTCAAATTGGTCATTGCTGAGGCAAGAGAAGTACAGAAACTGAGAGTAGGCCTTCAAAAGCTTGCCCATATATGTGATTGTATCATTTAGTGTCTATTAACTGTAATACATAAAAATGGAGCTTGTATTTTTCACTGCCTTTTTCTTTCTCATTGTACTTTATAAAGTATTGAACCATGATGGACTGGGGGAAATGGGGCCGGTTCTTGACCACAGAAAGTCTGAGAAGCCTTGCTCTAGGAAAGGTAAAGTAGCATGGGGCAGGGAAGAGGGAGAGCAGGAGAGCATGCACGTTTCCAGCCTGGGAAAGGGAAGCAGGAAGCAATCTGAAAAGGCTCCCCCAGGGGGCGTGGCATTTGAGCAAAGCTGAACAGGATGGGGATGGTTTGGAGGCAAAGACAGAAGAAAGGACGTTTTGAGGCAAAGAGAAAGGCGGCGGCCAGGAAGTAAAGGGTTTACGTAGGGTGCCATGCGTATTTAACGCTCTGTAGAGCACAGAGCAGGTGAGTAATCACGATAATAACAGCAGCTAACATTTATTGAACACTTACCGCAAGCCAGGCTCTGTGCTAAGAACATGGTGGGAATTATCTCATTTGTTCCTTCCAACTACCTGCAGGGACACTGATTTGTGAAAATCATTCCCAGACAGACGAAGGATATTAAATAGGAGGTGAGAGTGCCCCTCGGGGGAATGGGCTTCAAGAGCACAGGCAGACAGGAGTCAGATGCCATTCTGGGACAGCGGGGCACCAACTCTACTGTCTGTCTCCTCCTGGACGTGGATGTGGCCTTGCTGGGCCTTAGTCAGGCTTGTCAATGTCCCCTTTAAGTGGTAGGCATAATATTGCCCTGCAAGTTCTTCAGGAATGGCGATGTGAGTCCAGGGACAAGGATGAATGGGCAGGGAAACAGAAAGCACTGGCTTCCCAGGTTTGGCACAACCCAGGCTTGCTGCAGGCCCCTTCTTCACAACCCTGGGGACAGCTCTGCTGAGTGGCGCTGCACTGGCTCCTGCTGTGAGTAGCCCCCTGGAATAGGTAAGAGTTTGTGCCTCTGGCTCATTAAATGTACACCTTAATCTAACCTTACAAGGTAAGTGTTCGGCTCCCAGTTAGTACCGAAATGCTGCATTTGCTTTGAAGTAAGCATGAAGTGATTTGTATAGACGTTTCGAACTAAAGCCTAACTGCCTCCAGAGATGCAGGAATTAAGACCAGAACAGGAGATGGGGGCCAGGACACAGATGGAGGCCCTGCCTCCCAGGCTTAGGACCTGAACTTTGATTCTGGGGACAGCAGGGAACATAAAAGTCATATGGGAGGTTCTTTACCGCCACAAAGAATGTTCTTTCGCTCAGCAGGACAATATGTTGGGAAGTGACAAAGTAGCTCATGAGGGCCTCGGTCAGGTTCTCTTGAGGAAAGCAAAAGGGCTGGAATAGCCCTTCCTAAACCAGGTGCCGCCAATGCTTGTGGTTATTCCCAGGTCTACATTTTATAGACGGGGTCCTAAAATGTCTGGCTAGGACGTTCCTGAGCCTGTTTTTTATAATTCAAGACACACACACACACACACACACACACACACGCGCGCGCGCGCACACATGTATATACGCATCCTCACGTTTTCTTGAGATCACTGCTCAGAAGTCAGCATATTTGGTCTGGTCTACTTACCAATTTGTGAAACACTCCAGCAACTTTTAAGATGTCAAGCGCCATAAAATCAAAGTCCCTGTTATTGTGGTAAATCGACCTTCGTTGCCAAAGCAAAGCTAGAGACAGAGTTAACCATGGCAGCCACGAATAGCTGTTCTTCAAGGGCCAAAATCATGATTTTCAATGTTTTTCCATCTGAAATAGGGGAACATTACTCACTAGAGCGGAAACTGTCTCCTGTCCCATGAAGCTAAATTCCTACGCCAGCAATATGGTCTCAACAGAAGCCCTGAAAACAGAAATGTCATTCCGCAAAGTTCTTATTTCAGCCAACAAAGCTTTAAGTTTAGACTTAACTGTGAAACTGAAAATTTGGCTCACCACAGAGGAAACTGGAGAGACTTTTTTTTAAACGCCAGGAGACTGATGTCACTGCTTTGCCTATCCAATGTCATCTCATCCCTCTCCCCCAAAACCCAAGCAAACTGCAGTAAGCGACAAACGGGTGAAATTTCAGCTTTACCCCTCAGCTGGCAGGCACTTCCAAACTCATTTAAAGCCCAGGTAAGTTTTAGCTTTAAAACACTTGTCCCATTAGCATCTATTCCATGAAAAACGGGCGGAGAGAAAAAAAACCAAAAACCTATGTTAACATGATCTTTAGCAGAAAAATGCAGTGTTGTTAGGCCTGGTTTCTCATACAGATTTCTTTACGGTATCCATATTTACTAAAATGTTTATTGCTGTGACTGCAATAAATTGGGCATTAATATTTACCCCTGTTGCATGAAAGAACTTACTGTCCCTTTTCTGCAAGTATTTGGAGTCAGAGATTCCTTACGTAAAAGTGCTACAGATGAATGCTAAACCTGCAGAATGGTTTAGCAAGATACTGGGCTCTAACCCACGCTGATGAAATTGGTTATATAATTGGCATTGCATCACGGATGGCCATCCCTATAATTTGTTCTTGTCATTTCAATCAGCCCAAGTAAGTGCACCCCTTCGGATTTAGAGTCCCAACCAATATCTGCCCACACAGACGTGGTCAAGACAACCCCCAGGGCCTTCGTATGTTGCCTCTTTGTCCAGACGGTGTAGGAGCCCATTTATGACATCAAAATATTATGTAAACTCTCGCATCGTTAGAGTTATGCATTTAGCCCATTCATTTAAAACTCTGACAAGTTATTTAGCAGGACTTTAAAAAATATTTATAAATCCCAGGAGCATCTACATTTATTTGAAAAATAGTGCAGAACATGTTGCTGGTACAGTAGGCACTATTTGGTGGCAGGAGTCTGTGGCTTCCTCTACCCCTAGTGAAGCCTAGGGGACCCCAGGGACCCAGCACCCATGGGTTTAGAGTCTTGAGTGTGGTCCAGTGAAGACACTGCTCTCTTTCATATCTCCAGAGCCCATGAAGGAGCTGGCTTACACGTCCTTTAATTTGGCTCTGTTTACTGGGAGGTGCTTCACCATGAAGGGTAATGGATATTCCAAAAAAATGCAAATAGCAGCCACATTCAAGAGCACCATTTAAAATGAAAACACACATGAGGTCTCTCAGCAAACCACTAGCTTTAAAAGGAGCCTGGCCAACTTGAAAGACGGGACACTGGATCCTGGACACACTGCACCACACGGCCTGTTGGCCATAGCCCTGCTGCTTCTGACCATGGAATTTCCAAAACAGACTCCCTCAAGGAAAGCCAAGAGCACATTTTTGTGGCATTAGAGTGAAGTGAGGTTTCTCTTTATTAGAGAGAGATGGCATTGTAAATAGGGTCATTTTCCCTCACAGGGTACCGGTCTCCAAGAGACTGCCTTCCCAGAGAAGTGCCCTGGGAAGGAAAATGCCTCAGTTAAGGTACCACATGCTTTGAGGGACTCAAGCTGTCTACAGACAGCCTTGGGAAGGGGAAGGATCCATTTCAGCATCACGATTTTTCTGAACCAAGCACAGGGCTTGACAATGTGGCCACCAGAACTGAATGATCCAGTCATTGTCAATGCAAATTACTGCAAGGAGGACCCAAGGGCCCAAAAGCCATGAAGTAATGAACAAGAGGAGGCTCAGCTCCAGAGGGCAGAGGGCTTCCTTTAGGAGGTGAGTCATGAGCTGTGTTTCGTACTGGCAGAGAAGAAAGCTACACGGGTAGGGTAGAAGATAGTGGGCTGTGTCTAGGCGACAAGATGAATTGGATGAGTGGCTCATTGTCAAAGATCCACCATTAATGAAACACTGTGGACCAGGCAATGTAAAGGTGTCCCATCGGAACCCATATTTTTTGATCTCTTAACACTTAAAAAAAAAAAAAAACAACACTGTTCTGGATGCAAAAGGAACCGTTTTAGCAATGAGGGGCAAGATGAGTTGGGATGGCAGGGAGACTAGCTTTGAAAATGGGGTAATGATTTAGTTGTGGTATAGATGGCATTGGGAGGAAGACGGTGAATACAGGAATGCAAATTACTAAATTAGATGCAACCAAGAGATGACTCCTGAGCAAATTATCAGACCTACTCCCCAACTGTGAGCCCAATTTTTGGATTTTAGGTGTAGACAAAACAGTATAGGGCTTGGCTATGTGTACCACTGGCCTACAGTACAACCTACTGCTACCCTACATTTAAGGGAACAGCAGTTAAAGACCCCACATTTCCTCTTCCCCTAAGCACCTCACAGCATATTCACCTATCACCGGACACCCCATTCCTGGACCACGTGGCCATTCCTTTGAGATGACTGATTCAACAAGGTAGTGAAATAGAGAACTTAACCAGATGATTACAAATGCCATTGAAATGTGAGACTTTCAAACTAGAGAGGGCATGAAGCTCAAGTAATATGCTCATTTTAGGGGGGCAGAAGCAGAGGCTGAAAACACTGATGAGGCTTCCCTAGGACCTGGGAGAGCTGGACTGGGTGCTGGGTGAGTTCTCTTCTCGGCTCTAACCCTGAAATACTAGAGGAAGCTGAGAAATCTTTTTTTTTTTCTGAGCCTCAGATTCCACATTTGTAAATAGAAAAATATAACTAAATGGCTCCTAGGTCCCTGCTAGCACTAACTTCTTGTGTGATCAGTGCTTCTAAAATTGCAATGTGTCCAGGTGGGGAAGTTCATTTACCCCCTATCTGGTTTATGCTCACTTAAGGGAGTGATTTCTTTCCTCTGAGGCTCTCATCTTGCCCATTATTCAGAGCGAGCTGCCTCCTGGTGTGCTGTCAAAATACATCAGCTTCAAAGACAAACACACACCTTTCCATCCCAGTCCAAGAGAGTTTACTGTATAATTTATGATAATGTTAAGTCTGTTTCTCATAAATGTTAATGGTGCTACATTTTTTTTCATAGATGGGTAATTCTCAGAAAAGCAGCTGGATGTTAAAAGTTATTTTCTTTCTTTCTTTTCTTTTTTTTTTTTTTTTAACAACATAAACTGCCTCAGCCAACAAATCAGATTAAAACAAAACTCTCCAGCTTTGCAGGCACAAAGATTCTGTTAGTGATAGGAAGTAAACCCAAACAAAAATCATTCAAAGATTCCGTTCTTATAATTGTTTATCTAATATGATTTGATGAAGTTCACATTCACAGATTTTTCTCCATTTTAATGTGTAGATATTAAGAACTCTTTACCTTAATCCAATTCTTTCCATGCCTATAAATTGCTGAACTTGTACATTAGTATTAATCTAATATGCCTAAGTACCTTCCAAAGTAAATTCTTTCCTGCTAAAAATATTTTGCCATCAAATATTCGGCCTTTTCTCATCTATACAAACTGTAACCTTTACTTCGAAGTGCCATGCCTTCATCTTTTATACACTATAGAATTGTTTTGACTGCTAAATGTGCTTGAGGAATTCTCTCTCTGACATTTGAAAGTTGGATTTTGAAATCATTTGAATCTTTCAAAGTTATCCCCTGATGAAAGAAAATGAATCAATAATTTCAGGTTAGTTACTGTACTGGAGCTTCTGAAATTCCAAATTTTCTATTTTGAAGCATCACTTTATCAAAGAATGCAAGTATTCTTAATTTTTGATCCTGCGAAATGCAATAACCATAGACATATTTTAACCTAGAAAGATAAAGACTTCAAAAGTATACAGCCAGAAAAACACACAAAAGAACTATCTTAAATACCTTCAAATTGCTGGGGCTCAAGATACCTGGATTCTAATCCCTCTTCCATTTGATAACTCTGCAACCTCATTCATTCATTCATTCAACAAAGATGTACTGGGATTGACAGCAAGGTACTGTGCTGGGCATTAGTTACAGATAAATGCTAAAATATGGTCTCTACTCTCAGAGTCCATAGTGTAGGAAGAAACAGCCATGCAAACATCTGCTTGCATTCCTACTGCGTGGTGGGAACATTAATGAAGATATGCAGAGAGGGGCTGGGTACAGTGGCTCAAGCCTGTAGTCCCAGCACTTTCGGAGGAGGAGGCGGGCAGATCACGAGGTCAGGAGATCGAGACCATCCTGGCTAACACGGTGAAACCCCGTCTAAAATTAGTCAAGTGTGGTGGTATGTGCCTGTAATCCCAGCTACTCGGGAGGCTAAGGCAGAAGAATTGCTTGAACCCAGGAGGTGGACTGCACTCCAGCCTGGGTTATAAAGCGAGACTCTGTCTCCAAAAAAAAAAAAAAAAAAAAAGATAAGCAGAGAGTATTGGAAATGAAAGAGAGCAGGGGTGGGGGAATGTCAGCGTTTCAAGTTTTCTTAAGGAAGGTGGCACCTCAACTGAGCCTTCAGGCCTGCCCTGTGTCTCGGCTTCACAGGATGCTTGTGAGGCTCTCGTAAGATAAAGCCCGGGAAAGGCCTGTGAACTAAGGCACAAAGAGCCATAGTGGGATTATTTTCCATGGTGAGAAACAAAACTACAGCATAACGAGCGAGTTCTTTTGCATCTCTGGCTATTAATGAAAACATCCAAACATGATTTGGAAGTGGGTTTTAAAAAACCCAGCTTCAGCAGATTTTCTCAATCTTATTTGTATTTATAGAGGACTTAAAAAGAAAGGACTCTCTATCTCCATTTCATAGATGAGGTCATTTAGGCACGGGTCCCAGAGAGTTAGAGGACGACTCTGCCACGGGAAAGAGAAAAAAGCCTCAGCCAGAGGTCAGACAGCAGCTCAGGAACCTGGAGCAGGGGTGGCAACGGTGGGGATCACGTTTTCCTTCTGTGACACTCTCCCAAGGGTGACACTACCCCTGTCAAAATAGGGAGGAGGAATGATTTGTTTTTCCTTCAAAAAAAAAACAAGTGAGAAAGGAAACAAAATCCACATTTAAAACTCCCAAATGTTTTCTGAAACAAGTATTTTCTTCATTTTTTCCGAGGCAGACAAAGCAGGTGTTAAGGCTGAGTCCCTGCCATGTGAAACAAAGATGGCCGTGACTGCCTTGCACCGGGCGACCTGCAATACGGACCTCAAGCGCAAAACGAAATAAAGAGGAAATAAAAAAAGAATTCGTGAGGGTCAGAGTTTTTGGAAGTTGAACATGGGATGACAGCATGAGCTGGGTGTTGAAGTCGGGAAGATTCAGTTAATAGAGGAGGAGGAGGAGGGGTGGCCG